CGTCCTTTTTAAAAGACTGTCAAGTTGTTGTAGTCCGTTTAAAAAAGAAGAGACCAGGGGAGGGGGGTCGGGGGATGGGTTAGCCCGGTGATGGGGATTCAAGAGGGCACATATTGCATGGAGCTCTGGGTGCTAAACGCAATGAATCATGGAACACTACATCAAAAACTAATGATGTAACGTGTGGTGATTAACATAACATCATAATAAAAAAAAATTTAAAAAAAAAATAAAAAAGGAGAGACCTGTTGCTAGAGTCCAAACTGAGAGGCAGGTGCACTGCCCCCCGTTTGTCTTGCGTTCTCAGACCCTGGGCAGCCGATCATTCACCCCGGCGCTGTGCGGGCCCTCCCATGAGGCTGCGAGCCTCCCTCCGTGTGCTAGGACAGGGTTTACTGGCGCTGGCTCTGAAGCACCATGGCTTCCAGGTTAGAAGGTGAGTGTGACCGCACACCGTCCTTACCCCTTCACTGGTTTTCTGCAAGTCTGAAGTCGTGTTCCGTGTGTCATTGCCAGCGTCTCCGCCCTCAGAGCTGCTTTTGTTTTCCTCTTCTTTGCAGTCCTTGTCATCTTCATCTCCTGGAGATTTCCGGGACTGTTTAGAGGATTTCTAAACGTTCGGACAAGTTAAAAATTATAGTCAAGAGTACAACTCCAATGCACAAGTGTAAGTAAGAAACGCAGAAGTGGTTGACCTACATCCAGTCATGGCGCTCGCCGCAGGACAGACCAGTACAAGGGGGCGGTGTGTGGAGGCTGGGCCAGGCGACCTGGGACAGACCGAGCCACCTCACTGGGCCTCAGTGTAACCAGCTGGAAAAGGAGGTACAGGTGTACTCGATGACCTGTTCGTTCTTTCCAGCAGCACAATGTTAAAAGCAGAAAAGAAAGAGTCATGTCCCCAGAGCACTGCCAACGGGTGAATGATAGCTGGGTGGACAGCACGGCACCACCTTAGGAGGCTACAGAGCTACAAGGCTTCCCCAGCATCTCACGGTAGAAACTCAGGTCCAGAGAGTGAGGTGAATTATCTAAGATAACAGATGAATATTCATGTTAAGGTACCTGTTGAAGCTCTTTGGTTAAGAGCAGACAACATTTATATCACCATGTGATAGAAACGAACTTTAATCTTTTAAATTACGGATGGTTTTTGAAGGGCCCGAGGGAACCAGCCCTTTTTTCTTATCACCTTGCCTTTGAAATCAAGATGAACTCTAGGGAAGATGAAAATAGAGTTCTAGTTTACAGCCAGAGTTGTTTTGCAGAACAGCATTAAAATGATCAAAAGCCGGCCCTGCTGTGCAAGAAAGTAAAATGTACCATTTCACTAACATGTCCTCTCAGGAATTTTAAGAATCTTTAAGCACATGGCAAATAAGAGCTGAGGCAAAACTGATTTAGCCATGTCACTTCTGGTCTTCCAGAAATGAACTAGCAAATTGGAGCTTCCTCAGACAATCAATATTTTAAATACAACTTGCAAAGAGAAAATATCTTCTAGCTATGTGACAGAGCATGTAATTACATTGCTTCTATTTTACTTAACTGAAACCACCAACCAAGCTCAAAATGTCAGTTTAAAAAATGAGGTCATCTTTACTTTTTACAGGATGGAAAAGCAGAGATTTAATCATCCAAATGTGGAATGTCTACAGTCAAAGCTAACATCAAGTATGACAATACAAAAAGCATACTACTTTTTGTTTTTCTAGTAAATACAGTATAATTATTGAAATGTAGTAAATGCTTTATGTAGTAATTCTCAAATAATAGTCTCTGGCCTACAGTTCTTAGAGGTAATAATACACAACTCCCTAAAGTTCACGATGCTCACCAAGGATCCTAACGAGCAACCCCACAGTGACATATCTGTAAGTACCATAGTCTGGCACGTGGACCAGAATTAGGGCACTACTGAAGTTCTGCTCAAGAGTCACATTCAGTACTTAAAGAAATCTGGCTGCCCAGCGAGATTTGGTAACCCCGCAAAGCTCTTACTGTGCTGCAAACTCAAGATCACGGCAATTCTTGTGATTCTGGAAAAGGACCCTCCATCTGTTTCAGCACTGTAGTCTTGAATTGGTTGTGTGTCTAATTGTTGCCACCTTTGTTTTTTGTAACTAAGATGACTAGTGGTTTAGCATCATCACCAGTTTACTGTCTTGTGAGGCTCTCTGGTTTGCCCTACTTTATACAGTAAGTAACATGCGTGCAAAATATTCTGACCTGTAATTTTCCAGTATCTGTTATGGCTCAGATATGAATCATCCATATACTTACTGCCAAAGAGATACACACATAACTTCCTTCAAATCTGCTTTTTGACTGAGATGTAGTTAAAAGTTTGTGAACCATTGGTTTTCAGTGGCAAAGGAAGACTATTCAACCTTAAGAAATAGGTGTAAAAAAGATCACCATATTCAACAAAAAGGAAACATCTGGGAAGCCAAGGAGAAAGGAGATTATGTCAGGAAAGTGCTTCTCTATATGTGGTTCCCAGATCAACAGCATCAACCTTACCTGAAAATTTAATTCTCGGACCCCACACCCAAAGCCTACTCAAACAGAAATTCAGGCAGTGATGCTTAGCGATGTGTGTTTTAACAAGCTCTCTGATGCGTATGTAAGTTTGAGAACCACTGTGCTAAGTTTCTCAGTCAATATTAAAAATTAAAAATCATTTATGTGTGGGGCACCTGGGTGGCTCAGTTGTTAAGCGTCTGCCTTTGGCTCAGGTCATGATCCCAGGGTCCTGGGATCGAGCCCCGCATTGGGCTCCCTGCTCAGTGGGAGGCCTGCTTCTCCCTCTCCCACTCCCCCTGCTTGTGTTCCTGCTCTCGCTATCTCTCTCTCTGTCAAATAAATAAATGGAATCTTTTAAAAAAAAATCATTTATGCATTTCCAAAGTTTTTGTGTTTGTGCATAATTTGTCTTGACAATAAATAAAACAGTAAAAAGTCAAAGAAATTTAAAAATCATGGTTCTTAAGTGATCATGGAAGTTGTGATCTTGAAGGAAAAGAAGAAAAAAAAGATGATCCCTTCATCTAAAATAGATAAACCTTAGTAAGTAAAGTTTGTCTTTACCCCTTCACTGCTTTAAATTATATATCCACATCAGGTCTGAGCCCCATGACTTCCGGTCTTCACAACAAGCGAGGAAATAATGACGTTGAAAAGCTGCATATCCACAATCAAATGCCTCAGATACCTCAGGTAGCTTAGGTAATTCAGAAGGGTACAACACATTATACAGCTCAGCAGGAAATCATAAATTAAAAATATCAACTGAATTGGGTATTTAAATGAAATCCAAAATACTAAAAAAAAAATTCAGCTTAAAAAAATGCATTGAAAGATACAGTCTGACGACGAAAATTCCAATTACTTTGTTGTGATTTGCAAACTTTATCCCCATCCAAGGCAGATACCGTGTTTTTCATTGGGTGCACGGGAAGTAATGTGTAATCATACAATTTCACCTGTATGCTAGTTGGGTGGATTTTATAGATCGTAAAATAAAATGCTGATAATCCAATCAACTCCTGGTGCTTGGTTTTTAAGGAGTTGCCTAAGTCTGTCCAGCCACTAAATACCAGAATCTAAAGGGAAGTAATTTATCCAAGTATTCAATCATGTGACAGACCAATTATAGTGAAACCTGTACCAATTTCTGGTCTTCAAAGATCTATTTATCTTGCCCATCTTTCTAAAGGTGAACAATTTTCACAATCTCATAGTCTGTTCAACTGCATGTCTGAATTACTGTATGAAAAACCTAGACTTTCAATGTGTAAATCTAGGATCATGTCACTCCTCTGTTTAAAGCCTTCAATAAATTACCATCACATTGGGAATAAATCCAAATTCCTTAATGTGGCACCCAAGTCTCCATCACTGAGCCTTTGTCTGCCTCTCCCTTTTGGTCATGATCCCCAACAATGCTTGTCTTCTTTCAATTCAGGACATGCCAGACCCTTTCTGCCTCGGATCTTGGCTGCTCTGCCCCACCCAGCCCTCCTCCCCTGCTCTTTCTTCAGCCCTCGGTATAAACTTTGCCTCTTTAGAAAAGCCTGGCCACCCTATCTGAACCACATGCTCTTCCCACTCATTGCCTTCAGAGCCCCCTCATAATTTATATTTATTATTCACACAGTCTTTAAAGCAGAAAGACAGATTAAGAGTACATCTATTTACATAGACTTGTCCTGAATGGTACTGAGTCTCCTATATTCCTAAATTCTTCAGAGCTCATTTGGAGGTTCTTGTAGGAGGCATACCTACTCTTGTACCCTTGATGAAAGAACAGTCCTTCTCCAACTGAGAAGTGGTATTTTCAGTGCCAGATCAGCTCTGAAGATGCCCTCACATCTAAGGTTACCTGTCCTATTCCCCTTGGCTATCTTACGGTCTCTAGAGGCAGAGGTCCACAGAACTAGGATACTTCTGTGCGCCCAAGGAATGAATTAAGAATAATCTAAAACCTTAATGAACATGCATATAACATTAATAACAATGGAAAAGGTTCTCAGTCACCTTTGAAGTGTAGGACTTTTTCCGTTTTGAGCCCGCTTTTTCATTCTTTCTTTTGCCTTTTCCATCTTCTTCTACTCTATCCCCTTCCTCCTCACTGCTTGCATCTGCAGTATTCCCGCCTTCTCCCTCAGTTTCTGAGGAGCTCTGCTGCTGAATTGCCTAGGAAATAGCAAGATATTGGCTAATTACATTTTTGAAAAACATAGCAAAGAATACAGACTGTGAAAAGAATCATTCTATTTTAATCTGAAAGGGTTCAGCTTACTCTTAAAATTCTCAAAATAAAGGACTGTCAACTTCAATTTTCCAGTGACCACTTGATTTGAACCCTCTTGAGTAACAGAATTACATTTAATCCAAAATGTTACTGGAGTTAAAAAGAATTCTGATTTCAAATAGATGGAGGGTAACTACTAGTACAAAGGACATGTAAGAAAGACCCCAAAGAGAGTTAAAAACCAAAGAAATGAGATCTAACAATGAAGCAAACCATTACCTGGTACCCAGTAAACTTCACTCCCGGGTTATTCTCTATTTCCCACAATCCTTCATTAAATCCTTTCCGTTTGTTTGACTTTCCAAACTTGTCTTTGTATTCCTTATATGGAAAAAGGTCTTTCGGACCTAAAAATGCACTGCAGAGATATATTAGAAATAGAATTGACACTTTGACCTTCAAATATAAGCTATTTTTAATATCAATATCAACTAAGGTATCACAGCATATTTTAGTAAACAAACTAAAAGTATATATAAACCCTCTGAGTTGGGCACATATCATAAAATAGTTTACATATATATGGAGCGCCTGGGTGGCTCAGTCGGTTAAACGTCTGACTTTGGCTCAAGTCATGATCTCAGGGTCCGGGGATGGAGCCCTGTTGGGCTCATGCACTCAGCGGGGAGTCTGCTTCTTCCTCTCCCTCTCTCTCTGACACTCCCCGCTCGTACTCTTGCTCGCTCTCTAATAAAATCTTAAAAAAAGTTTATACATATGCTTCTAGGCAGGAAAACTGGATAGCTGGCTATATAAGCCAGCAACTTTAGACTGTGGTACTTTTATTTTACTTTTAAATTACCAATTTATTTTTTTGTTTTAAAACTGACTTTTAGTTACACACATAGTGTTAAAGATGTCCAAACGTTGACCACTTAAATCATCATCTTAAACTAAGACTTACTTATGTTAACCTTCCATTGGTAAGGTTTTGTGAGATTTATAGTAAAAATATAAACACTGGATTACAAAAGTGATTTTAACTCTATATATCACATTAGTATATTTATTCACTATTATTTCTATAAATTAAAAAATCATATTAGTGATTAATGAGGCACAAATAAGAAAAAAATCAGATATAGCAAATAGAATGTTATGCAATTTAAACTTTATCCTAATTTAATCATAACCAGAAAAAGGAAATGAGTTCGAGTAAATCCTGGGACTGGCTAAAAGATCTGAGCATTCAAACTAGAGTCTCTTCAGCATTATCACCTATAACATATTAACCTGGTGAATGAGATGGTAGAGGCCCACACCCTGGCTGACACCCAAGAAGCTTACATTTCAAACTAAGAGTCACAGATCCTTCCATTTGACAAATCTGACGGAACATCTATAACGTGTCAGGCACTGCTGAGGTGTGGCGAATTCTGTAGGGAACCCACGGACAACTATCTTTACCCTCATGGAGCACACATTCTAGGAGTGCGAATAGGGTTTGGACAAACACAGAGAAGAAAAAACACAGTACTGTGTGCTAACATAAATAAAGCAGAGAAGGGGATGGCAAGACTGGGGGTGGATCTGGTTATTTAAGATCTACTGATCATGGAAGGCCTCCCTGAGAGAGGAGCATCGAAACAGCACAGGAGGTGAGGAAGCAGACCATGCAGTCTCCGGGGGGAGAGGGCAGCAGACCCAGGGAAGAGCGAGTACAACAGGCCCCGAGGTGGGGGTGCCTGCTGTGTTGAAGAAACGAAGAGGCCAGCGTGCCTAGAGTGAGAGCAGGATGAGAGGAGGTCAGAGAGGGGACCGGGAGGTGCAGATTATGTGGGGCCTTGAAGGTTGCTACTGAGGCTCAGAGACAGACGGGCAACCATGAAAGGTTTGAGAAGAGAAGTGACAATCTGTGTTTTAATAGGATCCTTCTAGCTGCTGTGCTGGAAACAGACTGAGGAAGTGGGCACTAGGGTAGAAGCAGGGAGACAAATCAGCCCACCACAGGGATGGTGGTGACTCGGACCAGGGTGTGCGCGGTGCAATGGGTGAGGGGCTGCTGGATTCTGAATTCACGCTCAAGAAAGAGCCAACGTGACTGTCAATGGGCTGGAGATGGCGTGTGGGAGAAAGGAAGGAGGTGAGGCTGTCTCCAAGGTGTCAGGCTGAGAAATGAGAAGAACAGAGGTGGCACTTACTGAACTGAAAGATTTTTGAGAGAACCAGACTTGAAGGTGAAAAGCTCAGTTTGAGATGTTAAGTTTGAAACCCTGGTTTGACATCCAAGTGAGGAGGTCAAGTAGGCAGTTGGAGAGGTAATTCTGGAACTCAGGGGAAAGGTCTGAGCTGGAGATATAAAAGCTCTGGGACTGTGAGGTAACAGTTTACTGTTAATCTTCATAAATTCCATTTTCTGGGCAACCTTCTCGGGTTCCCTCCCTCTTCAGGAGCTTTGTACTATCGCTTGATGCTATTGCTCAATAAACTTTGCTTCCCACCAAAATATATATATTTTTATACATACATATTTATATATATATACACACACACATATATATTTAAATTCCATTTTCTGACTGGGTCTTAGTACTGATTCCTCATTGCCTAGCTGATCAAAAACTTCAAGTTGATAAAAATACCTGCGGAAGCTTTCTGAGCCCAACCACCAAAACTCCCTTGACCTTTAATTGCTTGGTCAACATGATTCTCTCATTGAATGCAGACATAATTTATTAGGTTACTGGACATTTTAATCAAAGGCATGTCACTGTCTTGCATGACAAATGGAACATGAGAAAGAAATGGACTCTGGGTATGTCCATTTTACTTTTCGAAAAGTTTGTCACGCGGTATTAGACTATGGTTTTTGACCTTTCTCCAGCATTTGACT